AAAATGGCGGAAATCAACATTACAATTAACTAAACGACTAGCCAGTGTATCCGAATTCCCAATCTTCGAAACAAACCGAACATCGCGGGAATATTGCTAACTCTCAGCGGTCGACAAAGCCTTATCCTCCCCCTGAATACGCACAAACACTCCGACGTCTCAAGAAGTCAGTCAAAACGAAAAACTGATGTTTTGTGAAAGATAATCTAGATATTTGACATTTCTTTGGCTCCCTTAGATTAACAAGATATTCAATATTTAAATGGCTTCGTCATAATTAAAATAGAAACTGTATGTTATATGCTAATTCAATTAAATTTCTTTTAGGATACGAGTATCTAGAAAAACTTGAAGTAAAATTGAAAAAACAATAAATATTTAAACTTTAAACTTTGGAACATCTTGAGTTAACACAGTGCCGCCACTATAGACGCAATAGCCGATAAGCAAATTTTATAAGTTATCCAGTTTAAATGAATTATTTTTGTCGTCCACTCGGCGACAATAAATATTCAATCAGTATTGAAAAATGATTTCCCCAGCCCATAAAGAAAATACGCTTTATTACGCCACAGAATGTAAAAAGAAGTTGAAAATGAAGGGAGGCAGCGGAAAGACCATTACAGGTTACAAGCAGCAAAACTCGTGATAAAGCCCGAACAGGATTCCGGCACCGGCATTAAAAAAATTGGAATGAACTTTTTGTGCGTTTTGTTGTCATTTGTCCAATTATAATTAATTATAGTCCTCATTGAACGATAAATTGTGATTATATACTTGTTACGTTATAATTTAGTCTACACGCAAATTCTTTTGCGAGAGAATATAATCGACAAAACAGCTATAGTTTTGTTACTATAATTAACGTGAAGCGTCGCGGCCGGATTATATTGCTCCGCGGGCCGGACCCGGCCCACGGGCCGTAGGTTGCCGACCCTCTGATTTAGGCCGTTCAAGATTGTGTGCATTGTGATAACACATGAAAATAGGTTAAAAACGTATGAATGAGGTTTCTAATCGAATCTGAGTCGCATAAGATGCATTTCTGCGTACAATTCGTCACTTTAAATGAATATTTCGACTTAAAAAATAAAAATCACCAGTTCATAATAAAAAGTGAAAAGGTGTGTTAAACTCGTTTTCATTCGTGCATATTCAGGTTGCTGCTAAAATGTGTTGTTTAAGTTAAAGAAAAAAATTGGAAGTTTCAGAATTCACCCCTGTTTGTAATTTGAATATTCCTTACGTATCTGATGGGGCTAGTAATCTGTAATTTAATTCTTTACATGCTGAGAATGCAAAACGATATACATATATACACAAAATTTAAAAATATATTAAAAAGAAATCGCACTCTATGGTAAATGAAGATACCGAAAACCAGTACTGGTCATCGAGTATAACAGACATGATAAAATGAATAAAGAGTGAGTAATAAAATAATAAGAAGTCGAAACTAAATATGTTAATTAAAGAACAGTACGTACGTCAGGGCTACCTGGTATACCAAGCAGTCAACGTTTCGAAAACTAAACATAAATATTTATCATATGTCTGGGCCATGCCAAATCCAGAACAACAGTTCACGATGCGACTTCCGGTCTTACTTTGCTTGGTGTTTATTTCCATTGTGTGGCCAGACAGTATTGCCATATTGCATGAAATGAAATTCAGTTTATTAACTTGAACCCAAAAATTCCCAGTCAATCCTGATTTCGTTCGAAATCCAACCGTTCGGAAGCCCAGCCCAACTGTGAGAGAAATTTTAACAACAGATAAATATGAAATATAATAAAAACTCACAATTTGAATAATGTCGTTTTGCTAGGGTCAGGGAAGCCAAAAGGGGTAATCGAGGCCACTGACTAGCTGTGTTCCGCTGTTTTAAGGCAGGTGTGTAGGTTTCAGTACAGGAGGGACAGATAGAAAAAACAGGGTGAAAGCGCGGGTCGCATCTATATAAAACACAGATTTCCTAGTAGTTGCAGACCAAAAGGTTTTGTGAAATGCGTTGTTTGTACAGGCTAGCAGCTATTAACGCATTGTAAAGTGATAGGCAGAGATATTAAAATAGACTCCGGATGCACAACGCAAAGGGAATTACTTGCACGTACCAAATTGAATTAAAAACTTGTTTCGTGTCCGCACAACATTCAAAATTGGCACCTCTTCAAGGGCCGCACATTTTTTCCTTGAGGGCCGCAGGTTGCACACTTCTGATGCAAAGCAATTTTGAAGAATGATATGGAGTGACAATCCCGGCTTAATTATTGTGTGGCACTATGCAAAACAAATCGTATCTTACAAGAGATAATAAGAGGATTAATAAGGATTTTGTAATAGAAAATGAATTTCCTTATTTTAATTCCCCCTTTTCCAGGTATAAAATGCCGATTTAAAAACTTTATATAATTGATAATGGTGAATTTGAGAACTTGCATTCATATCAGCGAGGCGCCATTGAAGTTCGCCGTAGTCTGCAGTCACATTAGTCGGCCCTGTGGTGTGATATTAATCAGGCAGGTTACTTGAGGTCATTGACTTGCAATGACAACGCACAAACAACAAAATTTAATACGTTATCAGTGCAATCCCGACGCCCGTTTGTACCGCTAACTTTATGGTCTGACAATTGCGCGCGATTGTTCAAATATTAGCTATAGTTTCGTAAAATACATTAACCCTTTGCTGACACAACAAACTTCTTTTTTCGTTTGCTTTATTAGCAGCGATCGGTGATATACGTCATTGAGGGTATTTGTTTGCGAGTCTACAGTAAGCAGCTCTTATCAATTTCGGAAAATATTTTATGTCATTCGTGCGATGTTAGTCTCGTCATTTGAAAGCTCGCATGCAGGATAGAGTATTATCGTTATTGGGGTTGTAGTATTAAGACTTCTGATACACCCCAGATGTCCTGAAAATAGATATTTAATAGACTAGTTTTGATATTGGAAGCAAGTTTGAGGTATTTTCAAATTGTAGAAAAGATGGGAATCCATGCCTCTGGCTAAATGTATTTATAATCAAATCGAATTGGCTTTTGTTTCCGATAACGGCAGCGTTGTGAAGTAGACTATTGTAATCTGCTAATTTTATTACACACCCAACCTTCCGATATTCAGATTTGTCAGGAAGCACTTACTCGAGTCGTTTTCATTAAGACGCATTTTAAATAATAATCAATGTGACATTTTTTTTAAAAATAGGGCTGCGCGCATTCACTCAAAAGTAAAGAAAAATTGGTGCTCCTGTAGTATTTGTACCAAAATGGCGCACAACCTGAAGTAGTATGTGTACAATGTTGGGGTTATCAGGTTGTGCGCCATCTTGGTGCACATAAGCGCCGAAAAATGATCTCTAAGCGAATTTACGGTTACTACTGAAATGCCTAATGCTGCTGTTCCGGCATTCCATTTATTAGATCTGTGGCCGTGGGTATGAGATTTTAACCAAAGATGTGATTACTAAGTACACAGTTGAATCACCTAATTTGAATTTGAGATAAAATGGATGGGACAACTGAGCAGTCTATTATTATAGAACAGTGGTTCCCAGCCGTCGGAAGGTCCGCGAAGCTTTTGTTATTTTGTTATTTTGCCTGCCTTCTCAATCGTTTGACCAAGACAAAGTTGCGTTGGTTTATTACGCAATTTCTCTTCCGTCGTCTTATTGCTATTTGTTTAGTGCGGTATTAATGACCCCGCGAAGCCTCGACGCTGAATAATCACACTTTTCGCTTCGTTCCGATTCCTCGCAAAAGTGCCCTGTCAAATCTTGCATGATTCAGAAACCTAAAATCGGCACGATTATTTTATCTGTTCTGCATGCTTTTTCTGCTTTATATGACCATCCAAATGAAAAGGATATGGATATTTCTTTGTTTAAACCAGAAAACAGTCAAGAAGGGCTTTGCTTTTACATTCAGTAAGATATGATCTATATGTAAATCATATCATAACTTGATGGGCGGCAGTGATCTTTTCCAAGTGACGTACAACAGGATTTTGAGCCTGGTGCGGTGCCAGGTTATCGATGGATTTGTCTTTGAAAAAATAATTCCATTTTGTTTGAGGCGTCGATCAACTGCAGGGATTAATATGATATCAGTTCAACAAACAATAAATTTTGATGCTTTTAACAAAAACAAGGAGAATGGGTCGTCTTCTGGACCAGATAATTCCCAAAAAGCGATAAGCTGACAATCACAAGAGAAAGCAAGACTATGTTGTGATTTTACTTTACAGTCCAGATTTAAAAAATCCCTGTCCTAATTCTGGATATCTCTCGATATCAAATACGCATCGCAAGTAATCGAGCAATCGAATCGTTTTTAAACCCGTAAAACAAAAAATATTTTTACCAAGAGCTTTATTCAAAACGAAGCAAAGGCATTGGATTTTATGCGCAAAATCTATGTTATCATTTTATGTTACACCGCTTTCAGTTTTTGGACGACACGGTATTTGATATTGATGATAAATAAAGCACAACCCGTGTTAGCAAAACGATTTAAGTTGCCGACGTTTCGAATTTCTATGTCCAGTCATGTGAAATGCTTTCGGGTGTTTTTATTTTCATTATCTAGAAACATAGTCCTTGCCTAACATTGCGTGAAAATATGTTATTACTTTCTGTTCCGCTCATTTCAAGTTTTCGCCAGTCCGCGAGTACATTTAATTTAATTTACCGGCAAGCCAGAGTCAGAGAGTAGAAAGGTTGGGAACCACTGTTGTAGAATGTTGAGTTTAAATAGTTCGTGAAATAAGTTGAAACAACAGTTAAGATCGAACTACCAGGGAGTTCGAATGTATGACGTCATACCTTATGACGTCATGAAACATGATAGAAACTCGATATGAATATAAGATTCAAGACTTGGTATCAATTCATTTTCCCACTCTTGATATAAAAAGTGTTTCATTTTTTTCTCAGCCTGTTTCCAAGTTTTTGCTAACTACCGGCGATTTTTTAAAATCATCGTGAAAAAACAATTATTTTCATCTCAAAATGGGTGAGTACAAATTTATTTGGCTTTTCTGAATTTCTCTACAGTTTGCTCCGAGCAAGACTTTGTGAATGTAGGTATCATGCCGACAGCAAGAACCACCCGATTTCAGCCGTGTTAATATTTATAATATTTATCTAATATTACTAAAGTCAACAACTAGTAAAGCCAAATGATCATGGGAGAGGCATCTGTTCATTGACTTGACTCGAGTCTTGTTTTTCAAATACTAAAGGCATCTGGGTGAAAGACGACTTGAATTCACTCGAGGCTGTGAGAAGTGACTCGACTTGTGCAAATAGTGAATTAATTTGTGAAACGGAGTGCAGTGATTTTTTTGAAACTCGGGAACTCATGGACTCCAATTGTGAAGTAACTTGACTGCTTACTAGGAAGTCAGAGATCCAACCTTTGACTCGGAAATGCAATGACTTAAAAATTAAAATTCCAACCATAGAATTAGTTCCTACAATACTTCATCATGATTTCTAAACTTTGTTCTCACAGAACCTTCCCGAATAGTAGAAAAACCTGAGTCTGGAGCATCAGAGAGCCACCAGGAAGCGGGTGTTTCACCAGTGAATCAGAAGACTGAAGTGCAGATGGCGTCTAAAGTTGGCCGAGGTAATGAATTTGTTTTGGAAATTGCTAAGAATAATTTTTTAAACAAAACTATCAATAATTAGAGTGCAGTGGAATAATTGAGTGTTTTTTGACCAAGGCACTTTTGGTAGTTTATTTTGATGTTGTCAGAATTTTGAAAGTGTGAGTTCGAAGTAAAAAATAGAAAAAATGACCGTTACTTTTCTCAAGTTGGGATTATTTTTTCAACTCTGAAGATGGGTTAATGCATTCCGAAAAGTTAAGGGGCTGGTTGAACTCATCATACAAAATATGATTTCTGAAAAACAGTAATCTTCTTAGCTTGACAGACTCCACCCTTTTCCCACAGCTGCTTCCACTTGCAGTTTAATTATTTGTCGAATCCTCTGGTCTAAGACAAGGCTATCTAGTCCCTTCCAATAAGGTAGTTTCAAGATAGTCTCGGAATCTCAAACAAGTGTTACATAATCTTTGAGAGCAAGTGAATTTATGAGAATAGCAAACAATAATGTTTGTTAGTTGTAGTGCTGGTTGATGGACTGGTAATTAATTATTGTGCTTTTGAAATAATTGAATTTCTGAGCTTTGAACAAAAATGAGAAATTGCTACTAGTTCTGTAGCGATATTAATATATCAAATTTTGGTGAGGGATGTCCGAACCAAGCATTATCTCGGAGAGGTGCTTCAATTTATTATTTCATTTATTTCTCTAGCTAAACAATCCATAGAAGGCGGAGAGGCGTCATCTAAGGCTCAGCCGTTCCACTCTGATCCAGATGAGTCTGAAAGAGCGTCGGCACCAGGTGGAGCTAGTGAGTAACATTTTTAAAATAAATGTTGCAAATAAATAAAGTAATTCTAACAGCCACAAATATTTGTTTCAATGGACAATTTCCCTCGTGGCATTTGCAACTTCCATTTATGTTATTTAAATAAACTAAAAGGCTTAAACTTTGCCAGGCTTTCTAGCTAACAAGACTTAATCTGACCTAAAAAAACACTTTATCAGTTGTCCCCAACAGGGGCCATAGCTTCCCAAAGGGCGGCCACAAAGCAGTTCAGGGAGGGGGGAATGCCAGACACAAAACAGATTTTTACTCCTCCGCCATTCTTATCCTTTTCTTTGCTTGATAAGGTTATTTCGCAGTTTTTTCTCACCTTTATCGAGCTTGAATTGTTTGAACGTAATGTGGATCGGAATCTACCAATGAAGAATATCAATAATAAACTACTACTCCAATAACAAGCAGGGGGCCATGAAAGCTCAAAACCGGCGGAGGAATCTTATTTGGTTACCAGTCATAGACTTAGTTTCTACAACACTTCATAATGATATCCAAACCTTGTTCTCCCAGAATCATCTCAAATAATAGAAAAACCTGAATCCAATGTATCTGGAGCATCCGAGAGTCATCGGGAACCGGATGCTTCATCATTGGATCAGAAGACTAAAGTGCAGAAGGCGTCTAAAGTTGGCAAAGGTAATATATTTGTCTTGGAAATTGCTTAGAATGCTTTTGAAATAAAACTAATATTTAGTGAAATGTTGGGTGTTTTGTCCAATGTTGCGGCATCAAATTTAAATTTTCAAACTCTTCGTAGTTTATTTTGAAGGTAGTTTTTAAAAGTGCGAGTTTGAAGTAAAAAATAAAACTTTACAACAGCCTTTATTTTTTTTGAGTTGGGATTCGAAGCCAAAGTATCTTTCTTCCAATTCAGAAGAAGGGTAACAATTTTCTCCACTTTAGGCATTCCGGGTAGTTAAGTGCCTAGTTGAACTCATTATGCCACTACAGCCATGTTTAAAAGGCTAGCAATTCCATTGGCGGAACCCTATTGGTGGAACCGAGTTCAAATTTTGCCAATTAGTTAAATACTGTGCCCTTAACAGTTAACATGATTATGGAAAACAATAATTTTTTAGCAGGACATCCTCCACACATTTTCTCACAGCGGCTGGCACTTGCAGATTGAATATTTGCCTAAACCTCTGGCATAAGATGTGGTTACCTAGTCCCTTTTCATATGGTATTTTCAAGACAGTCTTAGAGCCTTTAACAAGGGTGGCATAATCTTTAATGGCAAGTTAATACCATGTGAGATTCGATTCAGATAAAACATTATATAACTCATGAGAATAGCAAAAAATATTGTTTGTTAGTTGTAGTTCTGTTGAATTGATGGGTTGGTAACAAATTCTGACAGGTTGTGCATTCTTTTCACTTGTGTTTTGAAACTGATCAGTCTTGTCCAGATCAGGATAAATCATACGTGCCCCGTGCATTCAAGTTCCAGACAGATCAAGGGGTGGAGTGAAGCCAAAGAGGGATATATCTGAAAATAACAATGAATTACATTATTTATAATTATATTGCTATTTTCTGCAAAATGTTTTTTAATCACGTACATTTGTATTGTAGATATTTTAATCAACATTTGTCTACACTTGGTCTGGTCTCCCTGTACAACTGTAGCACCAAAGCAAATATCACCAAAATGCAAAACTCGAATTCTGGCCAACCCGATAAATAGTCATCTGAAATTGAACAAAACTCTTTAGTATTTTTGCAATTCAATACTTGGCTCAATGATATTATCAATTTAGTGCCGTTTCATAGACTTAATCCGGGATCACATAACTGTCATCATTCTCTCCTAATCAATTGAATTTCTGTCAAAAATGAGATATTGCTACAATGAATCGTTTCTAATGCACGAAGCGAAAACTACATACTCAGCAAACGATCACTTAGAAATATTTTTAGTAATTAGCAACTTTGTTCTGAGGCGATATTAATATATTCGATTTTGGTTTTGGGTTGTCCGAACCAAGCATTATCTCCGAGAAGCGAATTAATTTATTGTCTGGTTTCTTTTTTTAGCTGAACGATCTGTAGAAGGAGGGGAAACGCCATCTAAGGCTCAGCCGTTCGACACTGATTCAAATGAGTCCCTAGGAGCATCGGCACCAGATGGAGCTAGTGAGTAACATTTCTCAGCAAATAAATTTCTGCAGATAAATAAAGTTATTCTGGAAAACATTTTGAAAAATATAATTTTCCAAATAATTTTCAATGCTCTCGTACTCAATCAGGGATCAGGGCTATTCTACTCGAATATATATTCAAGTGTGTCTCCTAACAAAACAATTCTGACCCGAGAAATTGTACTTCAAATCTGAGCCATTTCATTTTGACTAGATGAGTTATATATGTCTGTCCTTATATAACTTCAGCATATGGCAGCCATGGATTCTTATTCGGTTACCAGTCCATCTCAGGTATAGAAATAGTTTGCAAGATATTTGTTTCGGATTTGTGGACTTGGATAGTGGAATAACCGACCAGCGCTTATGTGAACCATCCTACATAATTATCCCGGGATTCAAAATTGCAGACTTGCACTGGTTGATTAAAAGTTGAATGGAATTCGCCAACACGATTCGCCAACCTCTGAGCCAAGTCGATAAATTCTCTCTCTGAATTAGCCAACTTTTCTTATAAAAGTGGCAGTGCAATACAGATATCTCATATTAAAAATTTATTGGAGTTTTATGTCCTGATTTGGTATTTTTTATAGCATTTTATTTGGTGGAAATTTGGGTTGGAATTTATTTCGTTAAGTCCAACTTTTTTGTCATTTTAAGTCATTTCATAGGATTTTTCGTATTTAATATTTTATTCACCCAAACTAATAAATGTCCTATTTTTCTGTAGCTGCTACTGCTCCACAACCTTCTTCAGTTGAACAAGCTGTAGCAGAAGAGAAAATGACCCGCACTGATCCTGCTTTGCCAGAGAAAGCACCAACACCAGAGGGAACTAGTGAGTAACTTTTTAGAAAAAATCAGATTTCCATATAAGACTCGTGAATGGGTGTGTAAGATAGGAATACTTTTCATTTGCTTTTGTATTATCAATAGTGAGCAAACAGTTAGCTTTTGTATATCACAATATTTTATAAATATTTGGCTCAAATGTTTTGATTAAACCCAAAATGATTTTGCCTTTTTATATTCTGATATTCTATTTCCTGCTTGTAGAATAGGGCTGTCAGGGTAAATTTACACATTACTCAGCGCCTTTTAAAAATGACACCTACTCAGAATTGCACGAGTAAGATTGAAAATATAATTGCAGCACCGAATCAAATATCACTAACTGGAACTCTGGCCATCCCATTAAATATCCGAAATTAATATTAACTCTGCTCTATTTTTTCCCGTGGAAAACATCAGCCACAATTATCTGCTTCCACCTGCGGCATTCCCAACTTCCATTTATGATATCCAAAATAAAGTTAAAAGCCTAAACTTTGTCAGGATCCAAAGCTAACAATCCAACTAAAACAAAAAATACAACCTATATGGTCAGGAGACTATCTTTATTTTACTGTATGGCCGCAACCTCTAGAAATACTTGTGGTACTTACTGTATTGAACTCGGACTCCGAATCTGAAACCATTTGAATTTGACTGTTTCTGGCCCTCATTAAACTGTAACTGGTTTAATAGGAGATAAGAGGTTTTATGTTATGGCATCAACAATAAATTTGAGTAATTTCTCTATCAAGGTGACTGGTATTTGTTCATTTCAATTTTGCTTATGACTTGGGACTCGACTTGTTACTCAGGAAGTTAATGACTCGACTTGTGTTGCATAATCTTCAATAACAAGTGAACTTGAGATTTGATTCAGATAAAACAATATATGACTTATGAGAATAGCAAACAATTATGTTGTTAGTTGTAGTTCTGTTGAATTGATGGGCTGGTAACAAATTTTCGCAGGTTGTGCATTCTTTTCTCTAATGTTTTAAAATAGTCCAGGCTGGATATTGTTCTAGTGTTGGATAGAAGTCCATGAACCCTAAGTTTCGAATCACCTGTTATCTGAATATTGAGTCGATTCAATCGTTTGTTATTGAATATGAGTCAGATTCATTTTATGCAGATGTCTCAGATTTAAAATTTATTTCAGTTTTATGTCTTGATTTGGTATTTTAAAGATTTTATTTGGTGGAAATTTAGGTTTGAATTACTTTTGTTACGTCCAACTTTTTGTCAAGTCATTTCATAGGATTTTTCGTATTTATCATTTTATTCACCCAAGCAAATAAATGTCTTTATTTTTCCATAGCTGCTACTGCTCCACAACTTATTCCAGCTGAACAAGCTGTAGCAGAAGACGAAGTGACTCGCACTGATCCAGCTTTGCCAGAAGAGGCACCAACACTAGAGGGGAATAGTGAGTAACTTATTACAAGAAATCAGATTTTCATATAGACCTAGACTTGTGAATGAGTGCGGCAGATAGGCATACTTTAAATTTCCTTTTGTTTTACCAAAGATAAGCGAACAATTGACCTTTGTTTTTCACAAAATTCTATAAATATTTTGCTGAAATGTTCCAATAAACCTAATCAGAGATTATTTTTTTGCCTTCCATAATCTGATATTCTGTTTCCTGCTTTGTATATTCTAGAATAGGTCAGGAAAAATTTACACATTACTCAGCGCCATTTAAAAATTACACCGATTCAGAATTGCTCGAATACGTTCAAAAATACAACTGCAACACCGAAGCAAATATCACAAAAATGCCAAACCATTACTCTAGCCAATCCATAAATAATCAAATGAAATTAAAAGTTTAGTGGATAATTTAAAAAGGAACTACATGTCTAGTTTAATGATTTGACAACATCTATCATGCACAATGCTCATAAACCTTTTTAGTTTTGCAATTGAATACTTTGATCAGTATTATTATCAATTTAGTGCAATTTCATAGACTTAATCCGGGCTCTATAAACTGTATAATTTCCTTCTAATTAATGAAATTTCTACACATTGAACGAAAATGTGAATTACCACAATAAATTGTTCCTATTGCACGAAGCGGCATCTACATACTCTGCTAACAGGCACATAAAATATCTCTTGTAATTGACAACTTTGTTCTGTGGCGATATTAATAAATCAGATTTTGGTTTATAGTGTCCGAACCAAGCATTAGCTCCGAGAAGTGCTTTAATTTATTGTTTGATTTCTTTCATCAGCTGAACGATCCATAGAAGAAGGCGAAGTGACATCTAAGGCTCAGCCGTTCCACTCTGATGAGTCTGAAGGAGCATCGGCACCGGATGGAGCTAGTGAGTAACATTTCTCATAAGTTTTTTGCAGATAATAAGTTATCTGAATACATTTTCATAAATATAATTTTAAATATTTTTACATGCACTCATATCCTATCACAAGCCTTATCATAAGCCTGATTTATTAACATAACAATATATCAATACCGATATACAATGCCATATACGAAACAGATTTTCCTTGTTTCAATTCCCCTTTCTTATCAGTTTCATTGCTTGATAAGGCCATTTCGCAGGATGTTTTGGTAAAATTGCTTAACCTACTGTATTTCTACCCGTGGAAAACTTCAGCCAAATATTTGCATTTGCATGAGTGCTCAAAGCCTCCGGAGGCCTCATTTGGTTACCGGTTCATGACAGTTGGAATTGTTTAGTGGCGTATCTAGATAAAATGGCGCCTATGGCAAAGGTTTAAAAATGCGCCCCTACTTCGCTTGTTTCTTTTTTTCGTTTATTTGAAATTGATTGCTCTTAACCACGGAATATAATTCCTTAACAAGCAATTTAATAACGACACAACAAACAAAAGGCAGTGGATGGTCGGGCAACAAAGATTTTAGAATAGTACTTTTCGTTTCTTGACGCAAATTCGTCAATGATTTCATCAAAATTTATTATTTTTTTCAACCCTCTTTATACGTAATAAAGTCAGATCACACAACCTTTCCTGGCTAATTAGGGATCGGAGCTATGACAGAATTAACTTTAGTTTACTGAAATATCGCTCGCAACTTTCTATGAATACTGCCACGCCACAGTCAGCAAAATTTGCAAAGCTATCCGGAGATTTGGGATTGGAAAAACCCAGAAATAACTCTTTGACACACACTGTTTTCTCGTTCTCGATGCGCATGATCAGGAGTTGAGTCAAATATAAAACCATAGTAGCTACTTGACTTTTTTAATTTTCTGTTAAGTCCTTGCTAACATGAGATGCCATAAGGCGAATAAATTCATTCTGAACACCTGGAGAAAAGTGAGTGGTTCAATGTTGATGAATTTTCATGAAACCGAGATGCTCTCGCAATACAGGATTAAAAGCGGCAGGGAATTTCATTAGGCCAAGCCCAAAGCAAGTTTTTGGTCCCCAGATACTTTATTCCATGCAATATTCATTTAAGAATCTTACTCCATTTTTTCTATTTCTTATCAATTTGTATATGGAATTCGGCGTCAATAATTCCGGTTTTATTGCTTAATTTTTTTTTACGCTGTAAAACACTCTCTCTCATTGTACGAATATTCTTAAATTTTCGCTCCAGTACGATATCAGAACAAATATGAGGTGCAGTTAGTCCAGTACCGTATCAATATAAGTTCATTCATGTTGAAGTATTAAGTCACCGTCAATTACGCTGAGTGACGGAACAAACGGCATTGATCGTTGGCTGACAATTTTTATTTACTTGTTGGATTAGTTATTATTTAATTAGAAATACGAGTTTTAATTATTTTCAAGTTTTATTGAAACATTATAAGATTAGAACTTTTCGAGTTTTTGCGCCCCCGTCAACGGCGCCCATGGCACGAGCCATGTCTGCCATACTAGATACGCCACTGAATTGTTGACCAGGTATTTGTTTCCTACAAAATGCGCGGAACCCAGTTATCTTTATGATAATTATACCCCACAGATTCGAATTCGACTTGAATTAAGACCTGGGCGTGTAGGGAGTTGAGCGCATAAATCGAAAATTAAAACTTTAGCCATAGACTTAGGTTTTACAATACTCCATGACAATTTATAAACGCTGTTCTTACAGAATCATCTCAAATAATAGAAAAACCTGGTCCCAATGTATCTGGAGCATCAGAGAGCCACCAG